CAGTTATCATTGTGCAAACTATTTATTAATAGACCAATTCATTATTGCATATATCGTGCCTTTAATCCAATAAAAAGTAATAAATGTCGATCTTATCATTCGATACATTAACTTCTCTTTCAATGATTAAATATCAATTAAATATCAATGCATCACTATCACTATCACTACCATCATCAAGGTGAATAGCTTTACTGTGTCTGCGAAAGTGATGACCCTATAGCAAATCGAGAAAACAAATGACGTAGAAATTAGATTATATTTGAGTTTTGCTCACATCATTACATGCTTTTCTTTAAACATCTGTTTATCAGTTGATCACTGACTAAATCACGGACAGGTCAGTGATAGTCCCACCCTATGCATGATCCCAAATGTTCCTGAAAATCACTTTACAGAATTGATAGCATAGTGTTGCTAATTAATCATTATACTTTTATGTTAGCCGGCTAATACCAGTGACCAGCAAGTATAAATAATATCAGATCAACAGACAAAAAAAACCCCGTTTATTTCGAAAAATCTCAAAATCTGATTTTAATGAATCAGGATGATGTCATCTTTAACATCTACTACACTATCTAACAAGTATCATTAACGACCAAGGATGTACCTGGAACTCATACTTAGCTAAGGATGTAGTGTACCTTAAACGTGTAAAATTAGATCAGATTTGATTAGACACTAGATGTTTAGTATAACTAGTATAGCTTTTGAAGACATGATCTGAAATGGAACATAATGATGATATACCGTCACTGTTTGTGTACTTATTATCCATGTTATCTACATAAAATAGTTATTGATTTAATGTGTTTGTCAGATGAGATGCTAATGTGGTATCATATTTCCTTTGTCAAAATACTCCCATCTGTCAAAACAGTAGGTCAATGCCAAACAAAATACTCAAATCTGTCAAATCTACTTCATATATATACATTAACAAGCCTGTTTCCCTAATGTAACGTTAAACCGAAGTACATTTAATTATGACGTCGCCGTTTGTAACGTCGATTTTGATTGGCTTATGAAGCAGCGTAATAATTTGTAAGAGAAAAGAGTCCACCAATAAAAGTGGATTCCCACAGGGAATGTGTATAGTGGATTAAATTATAAGGATTAACTTGAATATATTTTTCATGTTATGGAGCTATAACACAGAAAAACGGAGTGTACTCTCATCATAAACCGCTTTGCGGTTTATTTAGAGTACTCTCCGTTTTTTGTGTGTTATATCTCCATAACATGAGAACTATGTTGAAGTTAATCCTTAATAAACACCAGATATATTTTACCGGTTTAAGATTAATATGTTATAGCAAACAGAAAACTAACGTTATGGCTAAGAGTGTCTTCGTAGAATATTCGATAGGTAGCAACTTACCTGACAATTGCCTTAACTAGATATTAACATTTTATATATTATTCAATGAAGGAAGGGATACAATTGACACTTAAATCTCTCTCTCTCTCTCTCTCTCTCTCTCTCTCTCTCTCTCTCCAGAAGATGACGTTATACATCTGTAACCGAATTGTTGGCATTTAAACATGCATTAAAATGTACATTTTCATGCCTTTGGACAATTATTGAGTGACAAGAGTGCAACATGTGAGGGTTTTAGGCATGAACAGAATATTCTGAATGATAAAAGTAATGCCATTAATATTCGAAGAACAAGTTCAAGTATGAACATTGCACCTCTCTAATTTTAATTCAGCTTTTTTTAGCACAGTTTATGCACAGTTTCGGGGTTTTTTTCTGCGCATGCTCGGAAAAAGTTTAACTTCTTATCGCGGGTAAAGTCGAAGCGATGCAGTATACATAGTCTTGGTTTTTCTGTGTATTTTATTCATTTTTCACTAATTGTGTAGGGTTATACTGTATCAGCGACGTGGGTGAGTTTTTTGACTGCTAGTAGAACCATGGGTACGTGAAAAGGTACTGAGTCACCTGCAGATTAACTTAGAGTTAAGAGCTGTTTACAGGCGAGGCTTAACAGGCGAGGCAACGACAAGGAAATATTAGCGACACCAATATCGTATTTATGTAAGCAAGAACTCGGTAAGGTATGCTACATAGCGACGTTATTGTGACTGAGTTGTACGGTAAATGTTTATAATCAGTATGCTATCTGAGTGGTTTTGTTGATGGTAATCATATCATTATTTTAGCACGGTTCGTCGTATATAGGCAGCCGTGATAAACTTCCGTAAAAGTGGCAAATCTTAATCTTGTTTTTTAACCATTCCGAAATGTACACGACCTTCGTATAGAAAGAGGCAGATATGAGAAATAATCTCGAAATGAAAGACTATATACGATATAGAGGACGAATTACATCTTATTCTTGTTTGTCAGAGAATTAAGAACACAATACATTGAAAGTTATTACAGAAATAGACCTTCTATATTTAAATTAGTGAACTCTCATTCAGTTAAAAAAAGGAGAAACTGAATAATTTTTCCAATGTTTTTATTGCTGCTTCACAATTGAAATCAAATGAATAATTACATGTATATTGTCCATTCACCACAATATGTCTGTATTGCTGTGTATAACACACTCAATTTTGTAAACAAACATTTTTAATTGTAGCAAGTTCATTTTTGCAGTACAAGCTTATCATGGTCAATATGAAACAATAATAGGCAACAAAGTTGAAGATTATTCCTAATTGGTATTTTTTTTAGATTTAGTGTAAATGAAGCATATTTGATTTTTGACCCCGAGAAGGTGCAAAAAAACACTGAAAATACTAAAGGGACAGAAAAAGAAGCACACGAATTTTCCATTTTTGTGACTGTTTTAGGAGAAAAACACGGTTTTTTTTATCCATAATAAAATTCAAAAAAAATAATTCAAAGGAGATGTTTTTTATATCAAGCGTTAAGTCTATAAAGAATGGTTAAGAAATGAGTATTTGTTTACATAACAAATATCGCTATGTTGAGTTAAAATAATATCTTCCTTCATTCAAAGGTGAAAACATTGATATATATATGAAATTGTTCCAAACCCAAAACATCACCTAACATCACATATTGTGTTAAATTGGTAGCTTTGACCGATCATAGCTCAGAAAAATAACAGTTTAATTAAGAAAAAATTCGACTTCTCAGAGGATAGTTTGCCATTAATTGAAAAAAATATTTCAATTCCTACTCAAGTCGGACACAATGCAACTACCAAATGTAACTTGTTTCATTTGCCGATGAATTTGAACAGATTAACATTGCCTCTGCGTATGAATTTTTTAAAGGGAGATAACTATTGACATGTTTAAACAAAGAAGATACCACTTGATGAGATTTTGCACTTTTATTGAAGCAACACAAAAAAATTGTTTAAACAACCAAAAACGATCAATCAGCAAAATGTTACCAGCTCTCGGTTACAAGTCAAGTGACAAGTCATGTACTGCCCTAGAAACTCTCCATCCAGCTACCCATTCTGCTTGTTTGTCATGTATCAACCCCCGGTACAAAACGAAAAACGTAGATCGATATGGTCCCGTCGTATATGAAATGCAGTCGAACAACCAACCGCCGTATCAAATTGTTTTGTACTTTAAAGCCACGTCTGGTTTCCTGTCTAATTCGACATTCAAATGCCGCAGCTTTACATTCTAGGAGATGTAGAACCTCGAAATTTAGCAGCTCTCCACTTCGAGCTGCCGTAGACTCGAAGCTGAGCCTGCGCACCGCGTCTAGACTTTATTCTTCCGCGATGACGAGTCAGACAATTTGATATCTTATAAATTCATTAACAAAAATTGAATATGTCATTTAAAAGTATGGATTTTGTGTTTTTTTCTTGGTTCTTTGTCGTTAGGCTTCATAATAACCTATTCAAAATTCTTACAATGACCAAATGAAACCGCTTGCTGGTCAAGGACATGGTTGTCTAGACGTAACAGTTCTGTGTTTGTCTTTGCACTTCCTACATCCAATGTGACGTCAACTAAGGGTAAATAAATGCATATGACATTATTCAAATTCAGTCCATTTCTAAACATTAAGTAGATTGTTCGACATTAACAGAAATATGCCAACACTGTACATTTGTGTGGAATGGAACAAACACACGGCTGCAACGGGAAGGTCTTCTGAAGCGTTCGTTATGACTGGATGGGTTCCTCTGTTGCTAAATACAGCGATCCTTTCCAGTCCTGTTAAGTCTCATGCGAAGCTATTTAGATGGAAAAGTTTGCGGCAAAGAACCCCATCCAACAATTGATTTGGAGGTGCAGCTGCTCTACGTGTTATATTAACCATGGAAAATTAAGCTTACAAACATATTTCCAATATTTTTTTTCTTACCGCAAACAAGCGACATTTCAGGATACTCGATATTGCGGTTTTCTAGGTTGAAGTTCAAGATACAATAATTTTAAAGATATTAACTCAAGAAAATCACGTATATGTTTGACTCGCTAATTCAAAATTAGACTTTATAGCTCGAAATATCGAGATACTAACCCCATATATTAGGTCAGGTTAACAAGTAATAATCTAAGATTCGACTTCGCTCAGACGAAATTTGTTAAAAGTCAAAAAAATAATATTTAAGTTTGCATATTTTGTTTTCCTATTCACAAATACCAATACTTAATTACTTCACTGAAAAGAATACGCATGGAATGAAATAGAATATATTTGACAGTGCCATGAAAAGAAAAGTACTAAATACGTTGATAAGTCCTCGCGAAAGCAACATATACATATGGATTGTTTGTCAGACGTAATAGTGTGCAGCTGTCGATGTTCATTATATAATGAACCTCGAAGTATACATATATTATAGAGAATATCTATATTACATTAGTATCCATTTTTATCAATCGTCAATATTAAAGTAATATGCTGCACTTTTTCATAATACATTGGTTTACGTTTGAGTTATCTGCCTTAATGGTTTGAGTCATTCCCTTTTCATCTGACACTCATCATTTGAGTTTGCTTCCTACCGGACCTACTGTATCTAAGCGTTCAGACTCACCTTAGCAATTCTGTATACATGTTACTTCTAAAGGCTTCGTCCACCTACCACTCTATGTTAAAATAGACATTGGTAACAAAACATTGCACGTTGATTAATTAATTAATCAATAAGACACGACTACCAAGGTTATAAAGGACATGTAAGGACACGTCAAACTAAGTTATAAACGACCTGCCTACACCACATACAAAACATGAATCCTTAAATAGTTTGTTCGAAAATTGAAACGTAGCCGTGTTATTTTCAATTAATCTGATGTTGTCTATTGCGAATTCTGAGAAATTGATCTGGTATTGAATAAGAACATACGTATTTTGTCAACATGTATAACGCTTACACAAATATGCGTGTACCGGTCATGTGATTTCTAACACACAGGTAGTGCCCGCGTTAATCTCATATAAGTGTAGGTGTAGCGACCTCAGCGCTTTATATACACTGTAGCAAACATAGCAGCATTGTAATATGAATGGTATAGTAGGTTTCATTTGGAATGAAGATTTATTTCTAGTCAAATAGTATTTATCCTTATATACGTTATAATTGTAATGGTTAAGCACTACATTGATGTAATATATGATATCCGTACTGTATTTATAATTCATCTTTAATCATTACATTTGACGAAATACAATGTGTTCATATATACATATTATGTTATGCTAATTTCCCATGATAACATTTCACTAATGTCAACATAAAGGGATTGAATGGCGTTTTTTAAATGTTCATGCCGGTATGAACGCAAATCGGTTACATCCATATTAAACATGAAGCCCTTTGCTGATTGGTCGTTTTTGGTTATTTGTGTTGCTTCAATAAAAATATGAAATCTATCAAGTGGTATCTTTGTATAAACATGTCAATAGTTATCTCTCTTCGCAAAATCATACGCACAGGCAAAATGCTAATCTGGTCAAATTCATCGGCAAATGAAACAGGTTACATTAGGTGGTTGTATTGAGTCCAACTTGAGTAGGAATTGAAATATTCTCAAATGAAACGCAATTCTGCTGGTAATGTTCATATGGTAGGCTGTAGCGCAAAAGTAAATATAACGTTTTGTATTCGACATTCCGAGTTCGTTTGTCGCGTTACTGAATTAGCCAGTCAAAATGTAATTTCAGATGATCTTGAAATTTGGAAATTTCGTACTAGTTCGAGTTGATATATGTAACTTTCGATTATCGATATTAAAAATAACATACGCCATAGGTTCTTTTTACTGTTATTCTTTAATGATTTTTATTACAATTGTATTAAGTAAAACAGATTCTCTGCTTTTGAAGAACATTTACTAATGCTCATCATTCCGCTTTACGGTACATCATTGATGCACGTTGTACCGCGGGAGTGCTCTTAAACTTCATATATATATTCATAGTGTACTTCGAGTAAAGTGTCCTTTATATCGTTATATCTGTATCTGTTTACATAAGCACATATAACAGACATGAATGAAAACAAAATTTATGTTTTCCATATCGATGAATTCATCAATGGATCATGGTATTAAGGTCTTATTGTTTTGCGAGATCCCGCCTCTTCCGCGCAGTATATCCGAGATCTTTTCTTTTGTTTGCAGTGTAGGCAAGATCTCGCCTCTTGCGTGCAGTATACCCGAGATCATTTCTTTTTTCCGCAGTGTATGCGAGATCTCGCCTTTTCCGTGCAGTATATCCAATGTCCCTTCTTCGTTGCGCAGTATAGCCAAGTTCCCGCCTTTTCTGCGCAGAGTAAGGAATTGCTGAAGCGTCAGACTTGTCTTTCGTAAGACTTTTATATTCTGGATACTGAGGAACAATCTCCTTTGGTGCTGACTTGAATAGTTCTAGCTCAAGATTGGGATCCGATGTTCCTGATAAAAAAAAAGGAATACAGACAACATTCATGTTTCTTTTACTTAAAATATATCTATCATTGTCCTTCATATTCAGTACAATTATTTTACTAATGATTGCATTTTGCTATTTTTTTCATCGGCTTTCAAAATATCATTTAATAGGGTGAATATTTCATTTAAAAGAGTGAATAAATTAACTTAAACGTTTTTTATCATGCTTGATATCCCCTTTTCACATCGGTGTTAGCTATATTACAATGTCAACATTACTTTCTGATCCGTTTACGAAACTTTCTTTGTGAAATACTAGTTGATTATACTAAAAAACACACCTGCATTTGTCATGAATCATGTTTGGTCTAATTTTGTTCATTGGAAAGATATATGCATCGTAACGACGAGAACAATTATAACGAAATAATCCGACGACTCGGTACGACACTGATATCATGACCCTATTCCGTCTTTGCGTATTGCGGAGTTATCTGCTCTTGAGAGAAGGTATTGATTGTTACGTCATTTGTTTGTGAGAGTAACGTCATCCTTTTTTGGGAAAACGACCTAATTTTCTCACACAAACCAATGACGTAACAATCAATACCTGCTCACAAGAGAAGATAACTCTGCAATATGCAAAGACGGAATAACTCACTTACGAGTTGCTTGATCGTTTTTATAGCAAAGATATTATTGCCACCATTAACTAGGCCTTTTACTTCTCGGTCGTGCTGTATTTGAACTATGTGGAGTATTTCCCTTACAAAATAACGACAAACAAAACGTATTAGTAATAGAAATGTTCCAAAGTTGTTTGGCGGGAAATTACTACCAAGCTACAAGACAATACGGATGCGAGAACCAGGTGATTGTTTTCAAGTCGTAAACAAAAAATGGACAGGAAAAGTACAACGAACTGCTTTTTATGATATAAACGTGTTTAATATCTCTGTGTACCCAGCGCTATAGCTGATGTGTCCTGATGTATTTAATGTCAATGTCTATGTTTTAAAGTGCATATCTCATCTTTAACTCTTAATAACTAAGAATTACATCATGAGCTTTTCCTTGTTGCGGATTTCTTTTCAATACTCACCATCGATACTGGCCACACCACACAAACAGAGCAGGGTCAGGGCGGTAAACACACCCATTCTTGTCATTGGTAATGTCGATAAAAAATCTGAAATATGTGAAAAGAAAAGCAAGAGTAGATTCGATACGTTAAGACGGTTCTGCAATATACGTCTTCACATTCATTGACCTGTTTACCTTAACTCACCAGTCTTATAGAAAGTAGATACCACTTTATCATCAAACTTTAAACTTGTGGAGTGTTTGAACAGAACCTTTAAACAAATAGATAGACTTGTCATGTTAAAGTCTTGTAAATGCATTGTTTGATTTTAAAGTCTTGTAAATGCATTGTTTGATTTTAAAGTCTTGTAAATGCATTGTTTGATTTTAAAGTCTTGTAAATGCATTGTTTGATTTTAAAGTCTTGTAAATGCATTGTTTGATTTTAAAGTCTTGTAAATGCATTGTTTGATTTTAAAGTCTTGTAAATGCATTGTTTGATTTTAAAGTCTTGTAAATGCATTGTTTGATTTTAAAGTCTTGTAAATGCATTGTTTGATTTTAAAGTCTTGTAAATGCATTGTTTGATTTTAAAGTCTTGTAAATGCATTGTTTGATTTTAAAGTCTTGTAAATGCATTGTTTGATTTTAAAGTCTTGTAAATGCATTGTTTGATTTTAAAGTCTTGTAAATACATTGTTTGATTTTAAAGTCTTGTAAATACATTGTTTGATTTTAAAGTCTTGTAAATGAATTGTTTGATTTTAAAATCTTGTAAATACATTGTTTGATTTTAAAAAGTTACATCTTGATATGTTTCCTTTGAAAGTTATTAAACAAATATATCACATATAGATACATTTATGAATGATTGTTGCTATTTGCTATAAAAATGACTTGCCCAAAAATTTGAGTAGGAAAAATGACAAACTTGATGGTTTCTTTTTTTGTGTGCAATATTAAAGGTAAATGTTAAACAGTTAAAGCGACACCACGATGGACTATATTTTAATATCTTTTCTTTCAAATTCTGTATAAATATCTCAATAGTACCTCCTTATGGAAACGACGACCGGAGTTTGCTGTAATAGATTCATAAAAATGTATAATAACAAATGGAATATGGGAATGGTTTTGTGATATTCTTGAAAAAGAAGCAAATTTCATTCACACGAAAAGTTTTAGGATAACAAACTGATCACATACGTTAAAATATATTTTTTGAAATATTTACTAAACATGCAGCTGTTGAATGCAAAGCCATGTTTTCTTCTGCAGATAATTTATTGAAGAGTACAAAAGGATCATAATACGTATTGCGAACTGATTTTTTTTTGCTTCAGTTGTAAATACGGCGCGTGATACTGAGAATAGGAATTATAAAACACTATGGAAATACTTTCATTTATACAAATTTAGATACGTAGGACGAGGCAATATTTATTACCGGGATGGGGCTGGTACAACATTTTTTATTAAAACAAAAACATTTGCATACTTTTGGCCATGAAATAAAAACTATCTGCCATTTGCGTACAGCGGTATTGCGAAAAACAATGTTATATAATAACAAGATGAACAAATTCTAAAAAGAAAAGTTTACATCATCATAAAAAAGATTCGTTTACAAATATGCGTACGTCAACACTGAAAGTGTTGAAAACATAGGATATAAATGTGGGTTCCATATCGTGACACCATCTACCTGTAAATGTATTGGCTATACCAGAAATGTCTATTGTGTGTGGCGCCACTTAGGACTTACTTAGTGTTCTGAGTGTATACAACAGTAGACAATGAAAAACAATTGTGCATGTACATATATATACTCCATAGTCTTGAATGTGTGAGAAAATTACGTCGTTTTCTCAAAAATTGATGACGTTACTCTCACAAACCAATGACGTAACAATCAATACCTGCTCACAAGAGAAGATAACTCTGCAATACGAAAAGACGGAATAACAAAGTCTGTCAGGCATAAATCCTATCTCCTGTCAAAAAGAGTCTTTAATTAAAGAATATATGTTGGTATATTTGACGTCTTCGTTTTATAGGGTTATTACATGTACAGATATCACGAGGGTTTATATCCATTCGGTATAGAATCTTTCTTACTTATTGTTCTTCGTTCAAATTACAGGATTTAAATATCATGACAGTCTTTTTGTTATTATTTTCATATTGACGTAATGTCACTCTTTTTTGGTCACCTGTTATTTTCATACGTTTTAAAAAGATTTCATATAATTTTCTACGCATAGTGTATACATATTGCGTGTGGACATTGTAAAGCACTTGCAGTGAGCCGATAAAGATCTTTTCAGTTGTTTTAAATGGCAATAGTCAGTAGTCCTGTCGCAGCTATTAGCCCAATCTATTTTTGCTTTTACTGCAAAACCTAAATATTGTGCTGACGATCATAAAAGTTCACGTGCTGTCTCTTGACCTCCTCCCAATACCTTCTATATAATTATATATGTATCTGTCAAGTGATTATAACCATCTCCATGCTGTGAAGCTCTGTTTGCTTACTGTCTCATCAATTCTCCAACAAAATAACACCAAAACATTTGTGATTGGCGAAAAATTGGCCGACTTTTTAGGAAGTGGCCGCAATTTTCTATTCATATTCTGAAAAATTTGGATAAAAACTTTTTTTTACTAATTCTTGATCTGAGTAACACATGATTTCGAAAAAATCCAATTATTTCTTCAAACAAATTAAAATGTCTATGAAATATAAGCAAAGGTGAGCGGAAGAAAAAAACATCCGCCAAAAATGACAATATACTTTATATTGTCATCCGCCACAAATCTATTTAAAATTAGCTCTTCGCATCGCTCCTGTTGACTGATATGTCGGGTTGTTAGATCTAACAACGCATTGTCTGCCAATAAGTATATTAACAGAGGAGGCTACTGCCGTTGGGCACACTATTTTGTACCAAGCTTTGTGGAAAAGTCGAGTAAATATGTCCGAATATGATATACCTCTTTGTTAACAGCTGAGAACAATTACATTTCGGAGATGAACTTTTGTCTCGGCTCCGCGATCCTGATATGTCCCCCTTAAAATGAGGATGCCTATCATGTAAACATTTTTACGAATTACTGTCGGGGCAAAGGTGAGTTTTTCGGCCGGGGAAATAGAACATCAATCAAACAGTGATTTAAGATTACATAATGTAAGTGGCCGCGGTGGCCTCATGGGTGAGGGTTCAACGGCAGTTGTCAGGTACTGGCCGCAGGTCGGTGGTTTGCAGGCTTTGGCGACAACAAACATGTGTGGCACGTCCCTAAATGACCATAGCTGTTAATAGGACGTAAAACACAAACAGGCAAACTGATTTTTGCTCAAGTATATTTTTGTTCATTAGACGGATTCATGAAATAATTGTACGTAATACTGATACCACGATGCCTTTGACTGCATTGACTTGAGATGATCTTGATAATATACACGTACATGCGTCCAAGCAAGCTGTCATCACTAAGAATTTAAGAATTTAAGCACATCTCACCTTTATTTACCAAATAGTGTCGTATTTATATATTGGTATATATACACTTGTAGCACACTGTCTAGCCATGGTAACCAGACGCTGTCTCGCCATGATAACCAGAAACTATCTCGCTATGGTAAATTATACAGCATTTGCATCTGTTGAATGTAAATAAAATTGAAGCTTGCCATTTCAGATAATTAACTGACGTTTTCACAGAAGTTCCAAGATTAGCACATGCGCATAGTCGCTTTTCTCTACAGGCAAAAAGGATCAAATTTCTTAACTCGCCGATATATAACATGCCCGGGGCTCAGGCCCCACGCAAAAACCGTTTGAAAATATTTGAGACTAATAAGGTTGAAATTTTCCGCATACGTACTCAGGATATATATATCCTTGTTAAAGGGAAAATTATAATTAATGGTTTGCAAATTAAATTTACTCTGGTTCAACGTTTAAATTAGGGTAGTTTTCCGGTAATAACCCTAATTTCGAGCTGAAAAGTGAAAAAATATTAATATATGCCTATATCTAGTTATTTACAATAATTGTAAAGTTTTCTGTTTAGAAAGTAGTGTTTGAGATTGTTTAATACACGTTTCTCCAAGCAACATTGCGATCCTTTCTTTGTTTGTAGCAGAGATAAACCAATGTGGTTTTTTTCAAGTATCGAAATCGTTCTATGTACGACTATATATTTAAACATTCAACTGCATGTCGTCCGTAGTAATAATTCATAGATATAAAACAATATAATATACAAATTAAGGACTACACGCCCATAGGTTCGTAATGATAATTTGTCTGTAATCCCGTTTAACATTATAGTTATAAGGCTATAAACAGTACCTATGTTAATCCTTCGATCTATATATTCATGTATGAGGTAGATAGCTAGAACAGCCAATAGCCGATATCAGTCAACTATTTTACTGAAGTAATGAAATCAGTGAATATGTAACAATGCTACCAATACTATACAAGATTTATATAGCGCCCTATAAAATTCGTAAACTTACTCTAAAGGGTTATTCAATACATGTTTTTGTTTTTGTTTACAGTGACCGTTTTAGATATAGTAAATAAAAAGGCATCTAAATCGACATTATACATTAAGTAACAAGACAATTATCGTAATATGCATATAAATGATTATATAAAGGTTGGTATGTATATGACATCTTTTGATACTCTTGAATTTAGCCCATTTGAATTTACGTCCATACCTTTTCAATGACAGGAAACCGCAGAGAGGTGTCCCCGTTGAAGAGCTAAAGCTGTATACAGGCCTGTTTACACGCTGTGTGTTTATGAGGACATACGGTCCTGACAGATGTGCGGTTTGTTGACAAGGGACATGTGACTCTGGGATAGGATTTCATTTGACAGGCACATTTATCAAAGGAACTTGTTTTATGAGATAAAAAGAAAAAGAAAAGCAACGAAAGAATACCATCAATACGCTCAATCTAAGAACATGTGCTCAAACACAGCAATTAATATATAGATAAAAAGGGCTTCATCAAATCTGATGATATTAAGTATGTTGTAATTATTTAAAATTGTAGCTGGGGGCTATTTCAAAGTCAGGAGTTTACTTTTGGATCTCGTCACAGGAATCAGAGAGTTACAACAGGATGTATTAAGAGCATCGTTTGAGTTTCAGGATGAGAAATGCTTGCAAAATACGGGTCCCGTTTGACTCAAAACAGTCAAGAAACGTGTCTGGGTTCACGATATACGGTCTTAAACAGCCAAGAAACGTGTTATCGTTCATGATATACGGTCTTAAAATAGCCAAGAAATGAGTCATGATTCACGCTTTACAGTCTTAAGACAGCCAAGAAACGTGCCATGGTTTACGATACACGGTCTTAAAACAGCCAAGAAACGTGTCACGGTTCACGATATACAGTCTTAAAACGGCCAAGAAACGTATCATAGTTCACGATATACAGTCTTAAAACAGCCAAGAAACGTATCATAGTTCACGATATACAGTTTGAAAGACAATAAAATAGAACTAAAAATGTAAAATATCTTCTCTTGTGAGCAGGTATTGATTGTAACGTCATTGGTTTGTGTGAGAAAATTACGTCGTTTTCTCAAAAATTGATGACGTTACTCTCACAAACTAATGACGTAACAATCAATACCTGCTCACAAGAGAAGATAACTCTGCAATACGAAAAGACGGAATAACAAAGTCTGTCAGGCATAAATCCTATCTCCTGTCAAAAAGAGTCTTTGATTAAAGTAATACTCATAAGAATATATGTTGGTATATTTGACGTCTTCGTTTCATAGGGTTATTACAGATATTACGAGGGTTTATATCCATTCGGTATAGAATCTTTCTTACTTATTGTTCTTTGTTCAAATTACAGGATTTAAATATCATGACAGTCTTTTTGTTATTATTTTCATATTGACGTAATGTCACTCTTTTTTGGTCACCTGTTATTTTCATACGTTTTAAAAAGATTTCATATAATTTTCTACGCATAGTGTATACATATTGCGTGTGGACATTGTAAAGCACTTGCAGTGAGCCGACAAAGATCTTTTTAGTTGTTTTATATGGCAATAGTCAGTAGTCCTGTCGCAGCTATTAGCCCAATCTATTTTTGCTTTTACTGCAAAACCTAAATATTGTGCTGACGATCTTAAAAGTTCACGTGCTGTCTCATGACCTCCTCCCAATACCTTCTATATAATTATATATGTATCTGTCAAGTGATTATAACTATCTCCATGCTGTGAAGCTCTGTTTGCTTAATGTCTCATCAATTCTCCAACAAAATAACACCAAAACATTTGTGATTGGCGAAAAATTGGCTCACTTTTTAGGAAGTGGCCGCAATTTTTTATTCATATTCTGAAAAATTTGGATAAAAACTTCTTTACTAATTCTTGATCTGAGTAACACATGCTTTCTAAAAAATCCAATTATTTCTTCAAACAAATTAAAATGTCTATGAAATATAAGCAAAGGTGAGCGACAGAAAAAAACATTCGCCAAAAATGACAATATACTTTACATTGTCATCCGCCACAAATCTATTGAAAATTAGCTCTTCGCATCGCTCCCGTTGACTGATATGTCGGGTTGTTAGATCTAACAACGAATTGTCTGCCAATAAGTATATTAACAGAGGAGGCTACTGCCGTTGGGCACACTATTTTGTACCAAGATTTGTGGAAAAGTCGAGTAAATATGTCCGAATATGATATACCTCTTTGTTAACAGCTGAGAACACTAACATTTCGGAGATGAACTTTTGTCTCGGTATCCGCGATCCTGATATGTCCCCCTTAAAATGAGGATGCCTATCATGTAGACATTTTTACGAATTACTGTCGGGGCAAAGGTGAGTTTTTCGGCCGGGGAAATAAAACATCACGCTAGTATTTCATCTGACATCATCAATCAAACAGTAATTTAAGATTACATAATGTAAGTGGCCGCGGTGGCCTCATGGGTCGAGGGTTCAACGGCAGTTGTCAGGTACTAGCCGCAGGTCGGTGGTTTGCAGGCTTTGGCGACAACAAACATGTGTGGCACGTCCCTAAATGACCATAGCTGTTAATAGGACGTAAAACACAAACAAGCAAACTGATTTTTGCTCAAGTATATTTTTGTTCAATAGACGGATTCCGGAAATAATTGTACGTAATACTGATACCACGATGCCTTTTGACTGCATTGACTTGAGATGATCTTGATAATATACACGTACATACGTCCAAGCAAGCTGTCATCACTAAGAATTTAAGTGTATATAACTTGACAATTCTGTGATAAAATATCTCATAAACTTGTCTCACTTGTTGTGACCTTACTTAGAAAATCTTGTGATAATTTATCATCTCAGTTTGACACGTATAGGTAGCTGATGCTGCCGGTGGTATATTTAGCAGTGATTAAAAATTAAAAAACAATACTTTCTATATTATATATATTGCAAGACTAACAATGATACAACAGTTTTACCATGACAATTATAGACAGCACATCTCACCTTTATTTACCAAACAGTGTCGTAGCGCATAGTCGCTTTTCTCTACAGGCAAAAAGGATCAAAGGGCCGGTTTCCAAAACGGCCCCTTCTCTGATTCAAATTTCCTGTTGGTGGTGCATTGCCCATGCCGTTGTGGTCACAAATCTATAAAGTATAAAGATTTAGGTCACTTGGTTTGTTTTTTATGGCTCCTCAAAGTTGTACCTTTCAGAAGCTGTCTAAGTGTTGATAAAATGTGCATGTTATGTAAAATATTAATGAAAATCTAATCAAATGATGGTCACCGTAAAGAATACATTCATGGCATGATTGTGACAAAAAATCATGTTTCCATCGCGCCATTTGGCTGTTTTATGGAAGAAACAATCTCAAAAATGCCATTTTCGATGATAACATTTTAGACACAAAAACTGTGTTTTTTAGAGAATACACCCTTTTATGGGCGTTGGATGCAAACCAATTTTTATCCTATTAAACAGTACGTAATATGCTATTGATGAGAGGAAAAATCATCAAAATGTAAGTGGTGGAACATTTTCAAATGTTGGGTTGAATTAGCCTATGGTTGAATTGCCGATTTTCGACTTTCTTTAGATAATTAACAAAAAAACGAGAGTATTTGCTCGGTATGTTGAGAATATGTACACAGATATGAAAAAAAGTGAGAGAAACACTTTTTCATAAAAAAAATCCAAGATGGCTACTTCACAAGTCCCCGTGGTTGAAGACATTGGCTGACAAATAGACAGAACAACAAACAAAACGTGTTCCTTATGATTTTGGTTGGTTTTCGCATTTACGGGAGTGTTCATAGCTACGGGCGATTGTATAATACCTATATTTATAAGTTTGGTTAGTCACATGGTAACGGGGATCTTTCATATCGAGCCCCAAACATACTTTCGACATATGCACTCCGTTGCCGCATGGAAAACTATTTCAAGTTTTGTCGGAATTTCTTTACCTGTGGTTGTAATGGTCGAGGGTTTTCCAGCGTCCTGTAATACCCAAGGTAGTACAAGATACTGGAGATGTGCGCACACATTCCCATCGTTCTCTCTCCAACTGGGCACTGGCAGTAGTAGTCCTTTATTGGGGCCTCAACATCGGGTGAAACGGTGAACCGTATCCAAACGTTATATTTCGTTTGGCTTTTGTGTCGAGAATGTATTTGACATCGGAGAAGGTCTGGGGAGTGCTGGTAAAGCCACACCTCATAGTCTCCGTCATCACTTAAATGTTCGGCGATGTAACCAGGAGCCAGAGATATCTGATACGTTCCACACGTAATGGTTCTCAAGTAATCAAGATCGAGACGGGGAAACAGTACGGAAGATGCATCCATCTTGACAAACTCGGACCTTGCCCGTCTAGATAGATCCGGATCTGTCTTGACTCTCTGAGCTAAACCATTCGGTGTTGTCAAACGGTCCTTCATACGTTCAGCCATTAGCCTATCTTTGGCATCTCTCTCTGGAGATCTCTGGTAGATCGGTCCTCTAATACCATTCAGACAGGCTGTGACGGTTCGAAGCAAAGCCTCGATGACATTGATAAAGCTGTTAGACACCAATTGCGTTCGGAAGAACGTCCAGTGTTTCAGACGACCATGATAGGATTCCACAATCCACCTCGATTTGGTGATAGTTCTGTCAAGATTTGCTTGGACGTCAGAATGTTGACTTTGACCGGGTTTCAGGTATGACGGCATGCTAGCATTGAGGCCAGAGGCTTCGAGAACTGGTAGGACATCTCTAAAACCTCGGTCAACGACAACGTTGTCGTCTGGTTGTAGCCAAGTAACTAGCTTGTCCATGACTTTTTTTGTAATTGTAGCATCATTTTCGCTGCCAGTGAATGGTCCTACTGTGTCCAGAATGTAGCCATCTGGTAAGGCGATGCTCATGAATTTGAGATAGTTTCTCTTCTTCTGGCCACAGTAGGACATTCTCTGGAGCTTGTGGTCGGAGCTTTTCTGGATATAAATATAGGTGCCATCTAATATGGCAGTGGCTTTATCTCCAAAAAATGCTTCTGAAAAGACAGTATTGTGCCCGAGCAACTGTTCTCTTGTCAAGTGATCCGGACCTAGAAATTGTGGGACTATCGATGTGTCTAATGCCTGTACTATGGAGTGGAAAGTTTTGGACACACTTGACTTGGAAATTCCAAAAAGAGAAGAACACTGACTCCAGGAAATGTCGGTTTTCAGTTTTACCCAGAACAGTAATAGAGCATCGTGTGTAGTCTTGGTATATATACCAGATGAAAGATATGGGGAACAGTGCGAGTGGATTTCGAGGAACTGATCTTTGGACCAACCTGTCCAGGCC